TTTCCGCCGTTACAGGACGGCCCAAGAGGCGCCCAAGACCGCCCCAATACGGCCCAAGAAGCTTCCAAGAGGGCCCCAGGACAGCCCAATAGGGCCCCAAGACGGCCCAAGAGGCGCCGAAGATGGCCCAAGAGGGCCCCAAGACGGGCCCAAGAGGGGGCCCAGAGGGGGACCACGAACCGCAAGCTCGAGCCTTCCGCCCCGAGAGGCCGCCAGGAGGCCCCCAGGAGGCTCCTCAAGAGGCCCCAGGAGACCCCAGACGTCCAAGGACGCCCCCAAGAGGCCCCAAGAAGCCTCCAACATGCGTCCCAAGAGACCCCAGACGTCCAAGGACGCCCCCACGACGCTTCGCGTCACCAATTTCTTCTCACAACGATTCCTGGGTCTGTGACTCGACAGAACCTAAGCGCGCGCGAAGCGCGCGCGTGGTTCTAGTTCGAATATCAAGAGGGAGTAAGCTCGGCGGGATCCCGCCCGACCCAGGAAGGAAGCCTACCATGCTAGGCTTCTACAGGGGCAAGGGGTTCGGAATGCGCACCGGTACGCTACCGCAGGCTCCCCCTGCCCTCGCAGTAGCTCTGCCGCCTGCCGCGCGGCGAGCGCCATCCATAACATCCGAGGGGCTCTCCTCGGGCCGAGGCACGGGGGCCCCGTGAGCTTCCGACGGGAGGCCTGCAGGGCCCGAGGACCGCTCCGCGACGCCCCGCTGGAGCTTCGCCGCCGTCCCACCCTGCGCGCCGGCCGCAGGTGCCGACCCCGCGGAGAACGGCACCAACGCCTCCGCCGCGAACGCCACCGCGTCCTACGACTGCAAGAGGGACTACTTCGGCTGGCTCAAGGCAGGGCGACGGTCGCCGCAGACCGCTCTCCGACGTGCTGTGTTTTGTTCCAGCCATCCTGTGTTTGGGCTCTCAGTTTGAGACGACAGCGCCCCGCGTCCACTCAATCAGAACTCACTCTTTCTCCCCTCCTCCCTCCTACCAGATCTGCCTCTGCCCTTCGCAAGCGCACCATTTTGGCAAATCCCTCCCACGTTGCGTGGACCCATAGGGAGCTCCACCGAAGGCCCCAGCGGCAGGGTTCGTGTGCGTCCCCCCGCCCAAATCGGCACACCCCTCACGAGGATCGTGGCCCCATAGGGAGATCCAGGGAAGGCCACAGCGACAGGGTCTACATTCGTCGATCGTTGCCACATTGGGAGCTCCGAAGGCCAGCAGTGGCAGGGTCCGCATGCGTCCCCTTGCCCATATCAGCACACCCCTCACGAGAATCGTGGCCCAGTAGGGAGCTCCATCGAAGGCCCCAGTGGCAGGGTCCGCATGCGTCCCCCCGCCCTCTTCGGGCATTCCTCTCACGAGGGTCGTGGCTCCAGAGGGGACTCCACCGAAGGCCCCAGTGGCAGGGTCCGCATGCGTCCCTCCTGCCCATGTCGGCACACACCTCACGAGGGTCGTGGCCCCATATAGGGAGCTCCCCCGAAAGTTCTAGTGGCAGGGTCCACACGCGTCCCCCCTGCCCATTTCGGCACACTCCTCACGAGAGTCGTGGCCCCATGGGAAGCTTCACCGAAGGCCCCAGTGGCAGAGTCCGCATTCGCCTCCCTTCCCATTTCGGCATTCTCTTCACGAGGATCGTGGCCCCATAGTGAGCTCCACCGAAGGCCCCAGTGGCAGTGTCCGCATGCGTCCCTCTGCCCATGTCGGCACACTCCTCACGAGGATCGTGGCCCAATAGCGAGCTCCACCGAAGGCCCCAGTGGCAGGGTCCGCATCCGTCCACATGCCCACTACGTCACACCCCTCACGAGCGTCGTGGCACCATAGGCAGCCCCACCGAAAGCGGCACCCACAATGCGGTATTCACAATTGCATGTGGTTGGGCCTTTTGCCAGGATCTTGTTCTCCACCGGGATTGTGTTTCTCTTTGCCTTCGCCCTCCGGGGCACGTTCTCGGGCCCCCGGGCCGTCACTCCTGAGCCCAGCACGAGCAACGATCTCACACCCAGGGAAAGGGGTCGGGACCTCTGGGGCCGCGGCTGGCCCAGGAGCAGGCCGGCGGATGTCCGGGCACCTGCACGCCGTCCCCAGCCTGCGTCACCATCCAGGGGCAGCGTGAGGGGGATTCGCTCACGCGGCGACGCATCGACCCCCCATCGCCCAGTCGTCGCCGATGGGGGCCCATGGCCCGCCCCGCCGGGGGAACGTGCGGATGCGCTATCGGGGGCCCATCGCCGACGCATCGGCGATGTACCGCTGACTCCAGGTCGTTGCCCCCCCCCGCCTTGAGCCGGCCCCCGCGAATGTTGGCCCTCAGCTCTGGCACAGGGCCTAGACCTCGTGGCGGTAATCACGACCCACTGCTTTTGACCTTTGTCGGGTTGCGCCCTCCCCGCTTCACGGTCAAGTGACGACAAAGGATGATTATCGGATGAGGAAAAGGTACACGCACCGCTACCCTTCGGCCGTTTTCCCTTGTGTCGACCTCCTGGGAAGCCGTTGTCGCCACCGCTGGATTCGCCTCGAAGTCCTGGTCAGAACGCACCCCAGGAGAGGTCTGGGGAGTGGCAGTATCGGTACCTTTCGGTTTCCCATAACGACTCCAGATGAAAAGCTGGTCTTGGGGAAGTCTTCTGGACCTGCACGGGGTCCACGTTGATTGGCGGTGACCCTCACGTGCAATACTTACGATGTTCCAATCTATTTTAGCCTTGATCACCAGAAAAAACTTCGAGCACCAAGAAAGTCCCGAGACTTGAGAGTTTTCACGTGTTCGGCCTTGGGAGATACTCGTTCGACATTGTTTCGACACTTTTTAGACACTTTTCCGGGTGCTCGAAATTATTGCTGGGATGTGGTCGTTAAGTACGGTTGGAGGAACATAATCCAATACGTGTGTGCGTGTGTACCCAGTTTAGGGCCAAGCTGGCAGCACCCAGCTCGTGCCGGCCCACAATGTTCGAGCGGTGGCGAAGCGTCCCAGCTCGCCTATAGGCCCACCAAAGAATGTTATAAGAACTTTTTCTAGGATTGCACGAAATGTTCTTAGAACATTTCTGGCTGAGTCTGTCTTGTTTTCAGACATCGAGTGCATGTTCTGAGAACTTTGTTTGTGTTCTCAGAACATTTTGGGGTTCTAAGAAAATGTCGTGGTAGGCGTATAGGAATGCAGGGACGGTCGGTCCCTGCTCAAAATGGACAGCGTCGACGTCGTATCGAGGGGCTTCGGTGGACAGGCCCGCGTTGGCGCTGACGCAGCTTCTGAGGAGCATTGAGATTGGCCCAGCCAGGGTCGTTAGGTCCGCACCAAGGCATCGGACGATGTGATTTTTCCCATGCGCCGGCCCAGAGGTCCCGACTTCTTCCTTGTGGGTAGCTCCTTGCCGCGGGCCCATTTATGATGGTCCCGCGGCTCAATGACGGCCCTCAGGTGCCGAAACCTAGGAACAAGTCCCCGATCGAATAGAAATATATTGTCGGAGATCTGGGCTTCGAGGCCTTACAGTCAGCGCGCACACTAATGATGGGCAACCTTCCCGAGGGTACCCTTGCATCCTTGCCTGATCGGTCCATCCTTGGCCACCCTCGTTGGCCGCGCCCTGCTCGAAAAGCTTGAAAATGGGCGTCCCGGGCCCTTGCTCGGAAACTGGAACACATACATTGCCAGTGACGTGCTGTTTTTCAATCCCTGGACGTTGTGAGGCTCAGGGGCGACGTCGGGGTGGTGTGGTGTACAGATGTTTCCCCGTTCTCCGGGGGAAACGACGAACAAGTATGCACCAGCATCCTGTATACACCAGGATCCGTTTTCCTGAGCGAGTTTCCGTGCAGGGCCGGAAAGAGCGCCGGTGTACATAGAGAGTTCGGTTCCCGACTCTGCATCCTTATCGCTCCTCCTTCTGATGCGGGCCGGCTGTATCTCAGGTCTCCGGCGGCCGCTTGGGACGGCTCGGGCACTCTCTGGACGCCCCCGGCAGGCGTGCCGCTGCGGGGAAGCCAACCCCCGAGGCGGGCAGACCTCGAGGAAGCAGCGAGAGGCCTGGAAAACACCGACCCAGCGCGAAGTCGTCGGTCGTCCTCGGGGCTCAAGCGACGGGGGCCAGTGCAAGCGGCAAGGAAGCAGCGAGAAGCCTCGGCATCGAAGAGAGAGCCGAACCAGCGCGAAGTCGTCGGTTGCCCCCGGGGTTTGAGCGACGGGGTCACTGCGCCGGGTCCACTGGATCTTGCAGGACCCTGCAGAGCCAGAGTGGCACCGACCCGGGCCTGCGTGCAGGTGCCTGCAGGATCCTGCAGGAGTTTTGCTGCCGGATCCTGGAGAGCCTGACTGACCCAGGTGTGGATTGACCCGGGTCAGGAGATCCCCGTCCGCGCTTTTGTTCTGCCTGCGGCGCGCGCCGCTCGTGGGCGAAGCACGCATCCCCGCGGCCGCGGCCTCGTGTGCCGGGCCTCCAGTTCTCAGGAGGGAGAAAAGCACACAGACACAATGAATCGTCGCTTCCCCAGCAAATGTGGGGAAAGATGGGCAGTGAGGGGGAAGGCGACAACCCAGAAAACATTTGAAGATATGGGGAATCTTCTCATTTGTGTGGATTTATTTGTGTGTCCCAGGGCCCCTGCAAGTTCGCGACTCCGCGGGCACGGGGCGCTGGTTCGCGGATGTGTTCGCGCGGCGGAGCGCCGCCGTGCGGCGGCAGATATCGGCGGGGTCGCGCCCTGGAATCAGGGGGGAAATAAACACGCAGACACAATTCAACCTCGAATCCCCAGACAATTATGGGAAGGGGGGGGGGGGGAAGACAGAAGCCCAGAAGACATGGGGAAATGTGGGGCAGATGTTTATGTGTGTGTATTTCTTTGTGTGTCCTTGGGCCCCTTGATGGAAAGTCCAGGCCGCGCGGGCGCGGGCACGGACGAGCGCGCCGCGCGCGCACGGCTCGGAGGAGGACGGCGATGCAGATCCGCCCCGTTCTCCCTTTGTTGCCCTCACCCGGAGAGGAGGAGCACATTCCGCGGGGGGGGGGAGGGTCGGCAGCAAATCGCCAGAGCTTTCTCTTACTTTAGTAGTGGAAGCAATTGGTTTTCAACATGTCGCGTGCCCTCTGCGTGCCTGCGGGGGCGCCGCCATGTAGAAGTACTGGAGACGGAGCATTTGGGGCGTCGCTACGCACGCCCTCTGCGTGGCTGCGACCATTTGTTAAAACCCTAAAACCAATGAAATTCACTAATAAAGTACCCTTGTAACCCCGTCTTTCGAGTTCGTTAGCGTCGAGCAGCGATCTGCGTCTGGTGGCCGATGAGACAGCACCGATTTAGCGTCGATCGATGTCGACTCGTGCCGGTGAGCGTCGATTTAGCTTCGACTAGGGTCGATCAGCGCCGATGGTACGGGATCAGGCAATGGCGAAGCGTCCTAGCCCGCCGATGGGCCTGCTACAGAATGTTCTAAGAACCTCTTGTGGATTGCACGAAATGTTCTTAGCACATTTCTGGCTGATATTGCCTTGTCTTCACAGGTCGGGCTCATGTTCTGAGAGCAGTGCGTTTGTTCTCAGAACATGCTTGGGTTCTGAGCAGATTCCGTGGCAGGCCTGCTAGGAATGCCGGGACTGCCGCTCCCTGCTCCATGGGAGGCGCCTGTGAGCTGTCGCCGGCTGCTCGCCGCTCGGGCGCCGCTCTCGGCTCGGACTTGGGTGGCACCTGGTGGGGGGGGAGGAGGAGGAGGAAGAGAAGGAGGAGGAGGAGGAGGAGAAGGAGGATGAGGAAGGGAGCAGGAGGAGGAGGAGGCGGAGGCGGAGAGGAGAGGAGGCGGGGGCGGAGGAGGAGGAGTGAGGAGGAGGGAGGAGGAGGAGGAGGAGGAGGAGAGGAGGGGCGAGGGGGAGCAGGAGGACGAGAGGAGGAGAGGAGGAGGAGGGCGAGGAGGTCGCCCGAGCGGCACCCCCCTCCCTGCGAGGCGTGGCCGCCTGCCAAGCAGGCCTGGTGCCGCGCCCAGCGCGCCCCGCGGCGCGCCCGCTCTTTGGCTCAAGTCGGGCCTGTCCCCATACAGGGGGACCAAGGTATAAGATCGAGGTCGGTTCGGAGAGGGTGCCCTAATGTTCTTCGTGCTTGTTGGATGTTCTTGAGCATCCTCGGGGAGGGTGTTCTCGAATGTTCTTGCTTTTGGCCAGCTGAGGGTCTCATGTTCTTGAAGGATGTTCTTCTGTCCTAGGTCCGGCCGTACAGGGGGATTTTCGACGAAAAATAAAAACGACCCCAAACATTGTCCAAACATGGTCCGAACATTGTCCTGGGATTCTTTTTTTCGTATTTTTTGACCTTTTTTGGTGGGTGCACTCTCTGTCGTTGAAAAGCCCCCCTGTAGGGGGACACGCCCGACAAAACCTTTGGCCCCCCGCCCGCCCGCGCCGTGCTCCCGGGCGGCCCGGGTGCGCGCGCCGTCTTCCGGCTCGGCGCGCGCCGGCCCCGCGTGTCAATGGCGGGAGTCGAGCAGCGGCGAAGCGTCCTGGCGTGCCTACAGCCCCACCAAACAATTCTGGACGCCCGACAGCAGCTCCTGTTCATTTTGAACAGGATTCGCTGTCCACGCCGCCGCGGCCTGTGTCCATTCGCGACAGAGGGCCGCCCGCCCAGCAGCGGCCGCTGCTGGTTCGGGACAACATTTGCTGTTGGGCATTGTGCCCATTCTTTCCGTACCCATTTCAGGCGTCCAAAACAATGTTCTAGGAACCTGTTGTGGTTCCCACGAAATGTTCTCAGAGCATTTCTGGCTGGGAGTCTGTCTTGTCATATCTCATCCGGTTTAGGTTCGAAGAGCATTGGTTCTGTTCTGAGAACATTTTTGGGTTCTAAGAACATTTCGTGGTAGGACTATAGGACTGCCGGGACGGTCGGTCCCTGCTCAAAGGGCGGGAGCGGCGCGCCGGACCTGCGTGTTCCAGCTGCGTGTGGAGCTCCGTCTCGATACGCCGAGGTCGGGCCTGTCCCGCCACAGGAGGGACACGTCAGGGGACAATTCTGTTTTTGTGGTACTTTTCGACTGTGTTGGTGTGTATGTTTTGTATTTGTGATGTTTCCGTCCAGAATCTGCCTGTAGGAGGCCATGCCCGACCTAACAATACGCTGCGTGTTGCGAATTTCAAGGGAGGAAGAACCACGCGGGCCCGACAGTTGGCGCTTACCCCACTGTCCCGGGCGTTCACGAAACAGCCCTGCCCTGTCCGATTCCTTCTTTTGGGCGCGCTTGCTAAACGACTTCGCGTGTCGGGGTGGTTACTATGGGGCTGGATTTTTTGACCTCTAGAATACGGGAACGACGAATGACATTTCTTCGATTGGCGCTGGCCTCCCCCTCCCTGGCGCGCGGAGCGCGCCAGGGTCGGCGCCGGAGGCGCCGCCAGGGTGGTCCAGCGCGGATTCGAGAAATCCGCGATGCCCTCCAAGTTTTTATGTTTATGGTACTCTTCGTATTACCTACCCGAGCATTTTCTTTGGGTGGAGGGCAAAGGGTGAAATCTGAAATGCCGCTTCGATGGGTGCTCGAGGCTTGAATATGCAAAAGGTGAATCACGAGACGGCTTGATCTTCGAGGTGCAGAAGCCCACAGGGGTTTCACCCTGAGCCCTCCACCCTAAGAAGATTCTCAGTCTACTGCTGGGGCAGCCGAGGTGCTGCGAGCACCACGGCCGCGGCTGCCCCCGGGACGCCGCCAACGCCACCGGCCCGGGCGCCGCCGGGCCCGGGAGGCCCCCGCCTCGGCGCGCGCGGGCGCGTGCGGCACGGGCGTCGAAGGGGGGTCGAGCAGGGGACCGTCCACGGAGCCGCTGCGACGGCGACGACGACGACGACGCCGACGCCGACGCCCACGACGACGACGACGACGACGACGACGACCACGACCACGACGACGACGACGACGGCTACGACGACGACGACGACGACGACGACGACGACGACGACGAAGCCCACGACGACGACGCCGACGACACCCACGACGACGACTACGCCCACGACGACGACGACGACGCCCACGACGACGACGCCCACGACGACGACGACGATCGGAACCTTGGGCGGGGGCGAAGCCAGCCTCGCACGGGCCGTGAGCGAGGCGCGCTCTCTGGGCGGCCGGCCCGAGGCTCGAGGTGTTCGGGCGTCGCCGCCGGTTCGCGGCAGCGCCCCATCTCCCAAAATCAGTACCGTTGAACCGACCCCCATCCCCATCTTCTCTTCCTCCTCCTCCCCCGCCTCCTCCTCCTCCTTCTCCTCCTCCTCCTACTCCTGCTCCTGCTCCTCCTACTCCTCCTCCTCCTCCTTTTCTCCTCCTCCTCCTCCTCCTCTTCCGTCTCCTCTCCCTCCTCCTCCTCCTGCTCCTCCTCCTCCTCCTGCTTCTCCTCCTCCTCCCCCCCACCAAATTACTACCTGAGTTGGGGATACCCCTTCGAGACCCGAAGGGGACGACCTACTATATCCCCATCCCGGGGGAGATCGGCCAGTGGGGCCCAGGCCACGCCGCTGGGGATGGGGATGGGTTAAACGATTCTCACAAAACCCTGAGATCCAGCGTATTGAAAAAACGAAGAAGAACAAAACATTATAATCATACACTTTTGGCGCTCCGCGCGGATTTCTTAGATCCGCGCTGGGGCTCCCTGGCGGCGCCTCGGGTTGCCGCCCTTGGCGCGCTCCGCGCTCCAGGAAGGGGGTCCAGCGCAGATCCAAGAAACCCGCGCGGAGCGCCACAAGTTTATATTAATGGCATTTTTTCTCTTTGTATGGACTAAAACAAGATGGAGGTTCTTCGTATTTTTCGGCCTCTAGGGGCCCTCGCCGGGCCCCGGGGCAGTCAACAAAAACGACTCAGGACGAAAAAAAGGAGTCCTGGGGAATGGGTCCAGATTTCGGGGGACCCCGTATTGAAAAAGTCACGTCATCGGATCTTTGGGAATCAGTTTTTCGGCGATGTACAAACATACGTATCACGTGCGTAGATCTACGAGCGCCACCCGCATTTTTCATGGATTCGACAGCAAGTCGATGTTGGGGTGAATCAATTCGGTGGTCGACCCCCTGATCGAAGAGTTAGAAAGAACAGGTGCCGATACCGCCGCCCTTGCCTCGTTTTCCCGGTCTTGGGCCGCTTGGGAGGCCTTCGTCGCCACCGTTGGATCCGCCTCGAAATTCTGACCCGGGCGCACCCCAGGAGAGGTCGGGGGGGGTAGCGGGATCGGTGCCAGTTGGTTTCCCCAAGGGGGGGGTGAGTCTTCTCGTATGCTCCTGTCCCAGACATGCTCGCGTCGTGGCATGATCATCGCGGGAGCTGTGTCGCTACGCTTGGCTTCCAGGGTCTCTTACTGGGAAGGGGTTGTTGAGGGGATAAGGGTGCTATCAGAGTGTGCCAAGGTAGGTGATATCTGGCCTGGACCTAGTTTATAAGTGGTGTTACATACCTCCGCTGAGTGGGCGGAATCCACCTAGCGCAGATCGGTAACCTCCCTGCGTCACTTGGGGCACGGGTAACCCTCTCGGGGTCCGCGTTGGAACACGAGCGTGACCTCGGATGCTCATGACGTTCCCTGCGCCCCCCAGCGGCCCAGCCGTGTGTGCGAGCAGCCCAGACCTCTGGGGCGTCTCGCCCAGAGGTCGGCCTGGGCCCGCTGTCGGGCCCAGAGCTCCGGCCTGAGCTGCCTGGGAGCTTGCGCCAAGGGGCAGCGAGGATGCCGCCCGTCGGCGGCACAGCATCACACCCGCGGCCTCGCCTGCCGGGCTCCCGGGCCGCGCCCCCCGCGGCTGCGGGGCGCCGCTGTGCGCAGCTGCCCCGCGCGGCACGTGCCCGTGCGATCGCGCATCCGCGGCACCGCGCCCTGGAAGCCAGACCGCGGGGGCGCGGCTACGGTGGTGCCCCCCTCCTCCTCTCCTCCTCCTCCTCCTCCTCCTCCTCCTCCTCCTGCTCCTGCTCCTCCTCCTTGATGCTTTGCCCAGGGCCGAGTTTTTCCCCGACAGACTCATCTTTTTGAAGTTTTTGCCTCCCACTTTGGAGCGGAAGACGGTGGGTCCTTTGATCGCTCCGCCCAGTTGGTCTTTGGGCCGTATCTGGAGGACCCACCATGGGGGCATTGGCTCGCAGGTGGAGTCAGGCCCACACCAGGGACCGAGCCCGCTATCGTCCTGGCGTTCGTTACACCAGGGGTAGTGTGGCTGTGTCGTCCTGGCGTCGCCTAGTAGGTCGGACGTGCACGTGCGTGAGCGCGCTGCGCGGGTGTCAGGCGCCCCAGTTGTGGGGGAAGGCGCAATGCACGCACGTTGCGTGAGGGACGTGGGCCTGGCACGGGGGTTCGGCACCCTGACCGTTGCCCAGGTCAGTCTCATGTTGTTCATCGTCTGGGCGTTCGTTACACTAGTTAGGCGGCTGCCAGGCTTTCTTTACACCAGGGGTAGTCTTTTAAGTCGTCCTGGCGTAGCTTGGTTTTGTCGCGTGTATGCTTGCACGCGCGCTGTCTGCACGAATATCAGGCACCCCAGTGGTGGGGGAAGGTGTGCTGCACGAGTGTTCGTCTCCCCGTGGGCTCGGCACGGGGGTTTGCAGCCCCGACCGATGCTATGCCCAGGGCCGTGTTTTTTCTCCCGACAGACCCATCTGTTTGAAGCTTTTCCCCCCCGCGTTGGAGCGGGAGACGGTGGGGCCTTTGATCGCTCCGCCCAGTGGCTTGCAGGTGGAGTCAGGCCCACACCAGGGACCGAGCCCGCTATCGTCCTGGCGTTCGTTACACCAGGGGTAGTGCGGCCGAGTTGTCCGGGCGTCGCCTAGTGTGTCGGACGCGCATGTGCGTGAACGCGTCCGCGCGTGCGTCAGGCACCCCAGTTGTGGGGGAAGGCGCGCCGCACGCACGTTGCGAGAGAGACGGGGGCTTGGCGCCCTGACCGCCGCCCAGGTCAGTCTCTTTTTTGTCATCGTCTGGGCGTTCGTTCTCCAGGTGGTGGCTTTCTCGTGGGTTTGCTGCGCACGGGTTCTTGCACGGGCATCAGGCACCCCAATTGTGGGGGAAGGTGCGCTGCACGTGAGATGGCCCATGTGTTTTCTCGAGGGTGGAGGGTGTCGCCCAAGCCCTTTCCCCTCTTTCTCCCGTTTGGTGGTACGGCTCGCCTGGAGCGCGGCCAGGGGCCCACGGGGGCCACTGGCGACAGCTGCGCAGGTGAAGCTAGTGGGAGTTCCCCCACTCCCCCTTCCGCTCAGTGCGGAGGAGAAGCCTCTCTGGGCGCAACGCCGCTCAGGGAGTCGTTTTCACGCCGAACGGGCGTCCTCTGAGGGTCTCGCCAGCCCTCAGTTGTATCGTGGTTGCGTGGCGGGTGTGAAAAAATCCCCCTCCTCCTCCTCCTCCTCCTCCTCCTCCTCCTCCTCCTCCTCCTCCTCCTCCTCCTCCTCCCTCCTCCCCCTCCTCCTCCTCCTCCCTCCTCCTCCTCCTCCTCCTCCTCCTCCTCCTCCCTCCTCCCCCTCCCTTCTCCTCCTCCTCCTCCTCCTCCTCCTCCTCCTCCTCCTCCTCCGCCTCCTCCTCCTCCTCCTCCCTCCCGGCCCTCGCGGCGCCCTCTCCTCATCTCGCGGCGCGTCGCCCGGCCGCCCCCCGTCCGCGCACGGTCAGGGGCAATGGTTCGGCGTGGGCCGGCTCGGGACGGGCCATTTGAGGTTGGGGGTGTCCCTCTACAGGAGGCATATTCAAAGATAGTGGGAAGGTATAGTCTTGGGACGGGGCATGCTGAAGTCGGGCATGTCTTAGCTATTCTTTTCTTCAGAGATATAGAGGGATTCTGTTTCTCGAGGATTTGGAGGAATGCTGGCAGTAATTTCGCAGTCATTTCCAGAGCGATCTGGCACACTAGTGTCCACCTAGAGGGGTTTGACGGTCATCTCAACGGCGTAGAACCTTATAGCCTTTCACATAGTGTTTGCGTGTTTTTTACTGTCATTTCAACAGCATAGAACCTTATAGCCGCTTCACATACGGTTTCAATGTTTTTTGACTGAGAAACGCCTGGTATATGCATAATGTTTCAGAGCTTGCGCATCATTTCTCGAGGAATTCCGAAGAAATTTTGCAGGAATTCCAGAAGCAAATCGCAGTCATTCTGTACGCGTTTCTGAATGCTTCTGGGTGTGATTTCTAGCATAAGGGGGGTATTGGATATTGGTCATCCTTTTCATCCTGTGCGTTGCCATTCTTACCATCCTCTTTATTCGGGCTCGATTCCGTCGCGCCCGCGGTCCGGTGGCGCGGCGCGCCAATGGACGCCTTGGCGGACCTTGCCCTGATCGGGGATGGCGAGGCGGATGCGCCCTCTGTGGTGGAGCCTCGAGGGGTTGCAGCACCTGCGCCCCAGCCTTCAGCCAGACAGAGGCAAAAGGCTCAGGCGCGCGTCCATGCGGCTGTCTCGAGGAGGGCGGGCATTGCGACATTCGAATTCCCCAGGTGTGAGGACGAGGACGAGAACGAGGGGAGGCCGGGGAGGAGGGGGGATTCCTCCTCAACCTCCTCCTCCTCCTCCTCCTCCTCCTCCTCCTCCTCCTCCTCCTCCTCCTCCCTATCCTCATTTCCCCCCTCCTCTATGCTCTATGCTTCTATGCTCTATGCTCTATGCTCTATGCCTCCTCCTCCTTCTCCTCCTCTTTCGCCTCCTCCTCCTCCTCCTCCTCCTCCTCCTCCTCCACAGTGCGGCTGATTCCTTCTCCTCCTCTTTCGCCTCCTCCTCCTCC